TGTAAGCTGACGCTCATTAGTAAATCTATTTCTCTTGCAAGTGTGTCTGTGGTTAAATGAAACGTGTTTAAAGAGTCAACCTAATCGCCTTGCCTGCACCTTATTCTCATTTAAACATCGGTCTAACTTCTCTGCCCACAGGCTGACTGCAAAGTGCTTCGCAGCTCAGTGAACACAGAATATCAAAGTCGCATGGTTTATATTGCCTATTCAAGCAGCTGGCTCGTACCTGTGGAAGGGGCAAAATTCACTAGAAAAATGTCAAACATCTGCTTGACTTGATTACATAAATTTAGGATTGGCTTATATTAATAACTTTAACTTAAGATAATCTGACATTTTCATGTCATTAGATCTCCATCCATCCATCCATTTTCTGTACACTCTTGTCCCTAGTGGGGTCGGGATCGGTGCTGGTGCCTATCTCCAGCGAGCGTTTCGGGTGAGATCATTGGATGTCATCTCCACTATTTTAACTTCTTTCATAATAAAGATTTATATTATTGTAAGATGAATTGGTTGAAATGACCATCATTGATTCAAACGGGAATTTAAAAAAGCCTTACCTACTGTTTTACTCCTTTTTCGTGTCTGTCAAGCAGGAAGTGGAAACTATCGTGGTACGAAGCTCTTTTCACCTCGGTGGTCGCGTTCTGCTTCCAGTTATCCTCGCTTCTTTGATCTTTGATAGTTTCTCCAAAATCTGTTCACAGTGGGAGTGAGCGAGTGGGAGGAATCATTTGCTTGGCCCACCAATAAAGGGTGTGGTCTTTAAGCAGAAGTGGGGAGCATGATGAGTGGATTACTGTATCAGGCAAACGTCTCTATAAAGAAACAATATACCATTATGTGAAAAATTAAGATGCCCCAATACAAATTTTGTTTTGTATTTATTACACTTAAGAAAATGTACGTTTTACTCATTAAACAAAAGATAAAAATGTGTTTCCTGAGAGGAAAAAGTTAGGACACATAGTAACCAGCTTTCTCCTTTTTGTTTAAATAAAGGTCACTTTTGTTAAAACAGAAGTTATGAAAAACTTGTTAGCACAACTTAAAAGTACCTAACTTCAGTGGGATGCTTCTTGAAGTCATCTACCAGTCTCTGAGGAGGTTTACTCCATTTCTCACTGTGAAATGTTTGAGGGGCTTTTCATATTCAGTTCATTTTTGGTCACAGCATCTCCGTGAGATGGAGACCTGGATTTTGGCTGGTTTTCGGTGAATCTGGTGGATCTCCTGGTGGAGTTGAGGACAACTCATATGCCTTAAGAACATTATTCCAGATCTTCTTGACTTTATGTTGATTTTCTGTGGGAAAATAATAGTCTCCCACAGAAATAGGTTGTTTTTCTAAAAGCAAAGTTTTTCCTCTTTGCAGAACAATCAGCAGCTGCCATAGGTCTTTAATGACATTATTCTTTTAGCAGCTTGCAATTTGCTTTCAATGTAAAGATACGTGAATAGTCAGACCTGGACATGATGGCAACTTTTAATATATTCCACTTTTAGACTATTTTAAATAGGTTTTGAGACCTCTTTAAATGCTTTACCATACTTATAAACTGCTCTCGTGTTTCTGAAGGCCTCAGGTGGCCCTTTTTATCTCACCATGGTGTTCCTTTTCACTTCAACAGTTAGGAGGACATCAGATTAAATGTCTGAGACTTAGACACAGAAAACCTTCAGAAATACTGAGTAACAACTTTCTCATCATGTAGTCACAATGTGATTCAGCTTTGAGTGATTTTTGCCCGTAAGTGAGAATGAATGTGGCGATGTTTGGAATTATTATATGTAAATATCCAAATGTCCAGTTACATTAAGGTTTATTGGGATGCGCCAATTTTTATTACACAAAAAGGAAAAACTAATTCCTATATCTACAATTGAATTCTGTATTGGTAGTTCTGTTACTGAAATTGTACAAAGGGGTGAAAGAAAAAAAAACTTGAGAGGAAGGAAGAAATAAAAACCACAGTTGCAAAATAGATTAGGAAACGGTGGATCAAAAGAACAAGCTGGAAAATTTGCATCTGATGTTGGTTTGTAGAGTGCCTTTTTTCTCAGGATGTTCTTTAACTGAAGCAGTGGTCTGCTGTTGCAGATCAGCGATATGCTCAATTTGCTGAGCCACATTGCACACATCCTGATCTAGCCGCATGCATCATCTTTCCTATGCATTTAGACTTAAAAGAGCCTGACATCAAAAGCATATGTGACATATAGGACTTCAAAGATAGGTGATAAATATATCCTCTTCTCAGGTAGTCCAAATGCAACCCACTCACCAGCAGTGAGGGCACTAACCCAGAGACAGTCAGGCTATTGTATGAATCAGAACAAATGTTGCATAAACCACATTCGACTTTATTTTCCTTTTTGAATTCACAGGAACCTTGTATTCCACTTCCTTAAAGTCTGATTATGATACCGCAACCCTGCATGCCCAAGCCCCTTACCTGAAGGTTTTTCCACACAGGTTATGGCACATGTGGGGGCTTCCCATAGATATTCATGCTTGGAAAAGGGTTTTCAAGAGTGTCAGCTACAGTTGAATCACTCTTCCTAACCCTCCTGGAGAAGTTAACTGTAGACTGTTGGAAAGGAGTCCCGAACGCAAATATTGAACTTCACATTCAGAAGTAACAGTATGGTGATTGTCTTAGTCATCAAACAGGGGGTCAGATCTTTACCCTCCCTGAAGTACTGATTTGGGCCATAAGCGTTTGGTTGTTCAGTTCACGTCTGTTCTGGATCTGGAGAAAGCTTATGGCCGATCCTCAAGGTATTTTGATAGTCTTTAAGGTCCATCTTGTCCTATTATGAGCAAAGCAAGAGCTTTGTCCTCATTTTTGGCCCAAGTTGAGCTTGTCCTCAATACAGGTTGGTGTCCATCAGACCTTTCACTAATCCTGTTTATGATGTTCATGAACAGAATTTGAAAGTTTAGGCTATGTTCACCCATTAGCTCTTGATCGTGAAATCCAAATTTTCTGCTGAAATTGGATTTCTTTTGCATGGTCGTTCAAACCTCAATGAAACTTTTGTGTGAACGGTTTAATTCCCCAAAGTTAACTGCATGAGCAGAAGTAGAACGTTGATGTCATACTGTCTACAAAAGTAATAATGGATGGAGTCGTTTATGGATTGATTTTTAAAGTTTATTCAGCAATGGGAACTGATGAGGTTGTCACAAGATCATAGCAACACAAAGGAAGCTAATTAAAAGAAAACATAACTAATACAAAGGGCCTTTAGTGGAGCTTTGAGTGCAACTTCTGTAGAGAAGTCTGTTTGGATGTGTAGTCAGAGCCAAGAATGGTGGGATTATGATGCAAAGCACTTCACTGACACGGACTTCTTTCGTAATTTCATAATATAATTTTCAACCATAATTTGCGTCTTGATTTACCTTATCTGTCTTCTTCTGGTGCAGAATTATGAATCATGGCCGTTCATGCTGTAGACACTTTGACAACAATCAGATGCATATCCGATTTAGTACCATGGGGTGAAAATAAAATATCTAAATTGGGGCATTCAGACTGTGGTGAAAAAGTCGGATAGGTCGTATTTATTCAACAACAAACAAAGAAGCGGATTTGGTTCGTATTTGCCTGCTGTCTGAACGTAGCCGTTGTCGGGTCTCCTCTTTGCTTTTTGCAGAAGATGTGGTTCTGTTGGTTTCCGTAAGCCATCAGTTCACAGCCAAGTGTTAGGATGAGAGTCACTTCCTTTTAGTCACTGGTCTGTCTACATTCAAGCTTTGACCTTTTGTCATAAGACCTGGATGATGATGGAAACAGTGAGACCCCAGATGGAAGTTGCTGGTATTTGCTTCCTGTAAAGAGCCACTGCTTTCTGCATCAGAACAAGTCAACTGAGGTGGTTCAGGCATCCGATAATGATCTCTTCTTGAAGCCTCTCTTGCAAGATTTTTGTGGGCACAAGTCACTGAAACGAGACCTTAGGAAACACTGAAGAGACTACAAATCCCTTGTGGCCTGGGATGGCCTGGGAATACCTTTTAATCCCCCAGGAAGAGGGAACAAGGGGATATCTGCGATTCCCTCAGCAAATTGCTAAAAGGAAGAAAAAAACATGACTGGATGAATGTACAGTGGAGAATTTTATACTGATAATGGTCAGCAATTATAGAAAAGTACATCTGTACATTGTTCCAGTGATTGTTTTCCAAAAGTGACTATTAAACTAATTTGGTTTGCCTGAAAAGGGCAAAAGGTTCAAAATAAAATTCTACTGTCAGCATCATTTGGATCGTGTTTTTTTTAAAAAGTCCTAAATTTTAAATTGTGATAATTATATTGAAACTTCATGATGTTTTCTGACTTTTACTTAGACTGTGGGGGGAAACATAAGTAAAGGAACAACAAAGGTTTTTTTTTTTTTTCCTTGATTGGAAAAACTACCAGTAAAACAAGCTGCCACCCAGAAAGGTCTCTTTAGTACAACCAGGAAAAAACTGAAGTTGATTTTTAAGGTTTTGTTTTTGAACACTGTTGACCAATTGTGCACTTATTCTTAAAGGTGTAAGCATGACCTCATAGCGTTAGACTAGAAGAATGCAGTGAGAACGGGTAGCAACAGGGAGGCTAAATATAACCAGATGCTTGGTTTGAGATTTGCTACACAGTTTTATATATAGACCTCAGGTAATATTTGATTATTTCTGACTTTATAGAGCACGGGAGAACATTAATAAATAGCTAGAGCTCTCTGTGATCTGTTGTGTGGATGTTAGATAATTGTTTCAGGGCTCATGTTGCATTCTTTCGGTGTTGGTTTAACCCCTGAACAGAGAATAAACAAATTCATTAATTCATCCACCACATAATTTACTCATATTCCATCAACAGTTTTTCTCCCTCTGCTGACCCAGATATGAGTACACACTGTTTCTTGTGTGGGTTTTAATGAAAAACTTCTTCCAGTTTTTATTATACTCTTTTCTTTTTCTTTTTTCTTTTTTTTTACGGATGCAGCTGAGGCAGAGGAAGAAACAGAGCAGGAGAAAGAGCCAGCAGAAAAGGCAAAGACAAAACCCGAGAAGAGGAAAATGGTGACAGAGAAAAGCCCTAAAGCCAAGAAGAAGAAAAATAATGATCAGGTTGGTACCCTTTGTGTGTCAATACCACCCATTCTGTTTTCTCACTATAAGAGCAAATGTGTAAAAATAAATGTACAAATTAAAAGGAAAAAAAAACAACAATTATTTGTGTGCAGGCAAAATATCAACCAGGATATTTAATGACCTTTTTAAGATAACCAGCGTAAGGCTTTTTTTTTTTTTTTTTTTCCCTCTTTTGCGAGGATGGTTTACGAATAAATAAATTGCAGGCATGTTCACTGCAGGCAGCTATGTCAGCATGACTGCTTTTGATTAAGTTTTTAATTGACACATTTTCTTATGAAAAATAAGTACTACATAGTGCAACCTGAATCAGATCTGCTCCAGTAAACACTGATGGTGCAGACCAGAAATCTTTAATGTTCATGTGAGTTTTATAATTTTGTGCTAATAAAATGTTCTGTGTTTTAGAACAAAACATCAACATGCTCAGACATTAAATTAGTTGGACGTGGTGGAAGAGGGGAGGTTCTCGGTGATGATTTGTTTTGTATTTGTTTCAACTCAAAAATAATTGGGTCGCATAACAGCAGAGGAAAAACTGCAATGTCTGATTTTCAGACCTTTGGCGGTAAATAAGGTCAGTTTCACATGTAAGACTGCCCAAAATTAAGAAAATCTGGGCCAATTCATTGGTGCCGTCCTAATAATTATCAAAAAATTTCACTATGGAAATGCACAACTGGAAGAGAAATGCCTTAAAACAACTACAGCTATAATTGTAGTAAAAGGTGTAGTAAAAATATCTGTAGTCTAATGAAGGTGTAGTCTAATGAAGGCTTAATCCAAATGCACACCACGCTTTACAGATTTGTTCAAATTTAGCAATAGATATATCATTTTCTTGGCTCTTTGCAGCTAATAATGTTTGTGTTGCTTTAATCTTTAATCTGTGTTGCTCTGTAAAATCCCCCCTAAAAACATTGCAGTTTACTGCCAACTTGACAAAATACAGAAAAGTTAAATGAGTGTGTGTGTGTGTGTGTGTGTGTGTGTGTGTGTGTGTGTGTGTGTATAAACATTATTCCTAGGATTTCTGGCTGCTGAAGAATCAACATACACTGCTCAAAATAATGAGATGAACACTAAAATAACGCATCCTAGAGCCCAGTAAATGAAATATTTCAGTCGAAAATCTTTATTCATTGCATAGTGGAGCACGTTGAGAACAAAATAACAAACACGAACAATGTAAATCAAAAGCATCATCCCATGCGGGTCTGGATTTAGAATTGCTCAAAAGTGGAAAAACAAATCACATCTCCAGTGAAAATTTCTCAAGACTAGTCAAAATGAGGCTCAGTAGCAGAGCCTCATTTTGAGCAGAGGTCGCGTTTTCCGTAATTGACCAGTTATCTTTTTTAAACGACAGGAAAATTTGAAGCTCGTCAGTCATTTGACAGGTTATAATTCACACCCTTCACTGGTGCAAACAGGCAGACATTATAGACTTAAAGATTTAATCGCAGAGGCAACTAAAATCAATCAGTAAAAATATCCTTTCTGAATATCATCTAAGGAACTCTGAACTAAATGCGTCTTTCTGACCAGGAGCTGTCAGTGTTGAAGAGTTATGGACCGGACGCTTTGGAGCGTCTGGTTAGGAAGCGCATTACAAACCTTTGGTTGAAATGGCGCGTTAAAATTCAAGTCTCCATTACAGACCAGAGAAAACTAAAGAGAATGCAACGTTGTGTTAATGCATTTGAGGAGCCGGCAGTTTATCTTGAGGAAATAAATGACAATGCAAAAGTTAATTAGACTGTAACATGCGCAGTCCGCTGCTCAACCACTGCGGACTGCGAAGAATTAGAAACCGCTGGAAGTAACTCATCCAGCGGATTTAACAAATTGAGCCTTCTGGGTTCACGTTACCCAGGAGAGCGGCGCTCTGGAAGAGCTGCAGACGTAACATCTGTCCGTTTCGGAGAAGCGAAACCACGCAAATTAAAAAAAAAAAAAAAAAAAAAAATCCGTCAAAAGGCGCACCTGGGCGCGCGCGGGGAAAAA